ACCTTGTTGCACAATCTACTCGTACCAGGGCAATCGATTCACTCGTTTGGCTCTTGGCAACTTTGTAGGCCACAGGCTGCTTGGCAGTTGCGAATGACACCAACACCAAGTCCACTTTCAGGAATGTATGCAGCAACGCATGCGATACTGATTCTCTAGACTTTGCATGAGCGGCAACGAAAACCCACTGAATTTACAGGCTTCGCTTCACATCGGGCTATGAACGTACGGTATATGGTTGGATCACCCTCCAGATGGTGATACACAAATTCCCATGTTTATCATTCGGCCAAGTAACAAACTACACCCATCCTCCCACTAACATAGCATTTGTGGGAGGGTACCATGAAGATCAAGTTCCTCTTCAATGGACCCCCTGTCCGGTGCCCGGTTAGAACGAGAAGGGTATCCAAGCGAGTCAAACCGTATCAAGCCCGATTGACATCTGATCGAATCGCTTTGCCATGTTCGACTGGGAGGAGCTTGAGGCTGCAGGCTGATAAGTCCTCCCAGGGGGGGAGGGATCATCCAACAAAAGAGTGCCCGGTTGATTCTTTTGAATGTATATATGTATGTATATAGAGTTTCCATATATATATATATATGGTAACCCCCCCCCCAGGGCCTACCTTTCCTCTCTTCTAGTTGAAGGTGTCAAGTCTACTCCGTGTGCCTCGTTCTTGCAGATCCACCAAGGGCCTGGTGTTCATTGCAATTGTAAAACAACATCTGCCCGGCAAGCCCAGGCATCGACCGGCTAAGTTCAAAGACGCAAAGCAGAATCCATTTTTTCCCCAAGAGTTTGACCAGTGGAGCCAAGAAGTTTGGCAGAAATAGCATAGCAGGCAAGAAAAATGAGCTGGGCAGTTGTCTCAGTTGTTCAGTGGCACCCTTTTCCCTTTTTTTTGGGTGGCTGCCCCACTAAAAGTCTTCCCCAAAAAGGGTTCCCTTTTTTTCCCAGGGTCACTGAACAACTGAGTCGTAGAGGGAAGGACTTTCTTGGCGTTCTTCCCTTGCAACGAGCCAAAGAATTTTAGCCCCTCTGGACATCCCCCAAACCAAAGGTCAGTCTGTGATTTCCACTTCCCGCGAAGCCTGTAATGGGAGGTACCGTGGCCCGGTAGGGTTTGATAGGGTTCGATAGGGTTTGATAGGGTTTGATAGGGTTTGATGGTTTGATGTGGTTGGAGGTGCACTGTTTGGATCAGTGTTTTTTGAGGGTTCCTGCTAGTTTTGAGTTTTAAAGGGAAACCAAAAGGAAAAGGAAGCCATTTTGGAGGAGTCCGATTACTCAAACAGACGAGCCACCCATTTACCGTTGGAACTAGCCCATGCCCCGGTTGCCAGTGGGTTCCACCTTTGAATTCCTTCTTCTGGGGACGGGTTGTGCTGTAAATCTGACAACCCCAGGGTCTTAGATTGTTCCCCTTTGGCCATGGGGAAGGCACGAAAGTTTACCATAGGTGGGTTGGCATGATTCATTGTTTACAGTTGTAGCACTAATCTGATCCACTATTTTTGTTTAGAATGATTGGCGTGAATCACTATAATACTATAAAGCCCTTGACACGGGCCGAGGCAGCAGTGAACAGTCCCATTTGGAGTGGCTAAGGGGAAAATATCCTATAAAGTATGCGCTGGATAGCCAATCAATTGATCATCCCTAATTTCCCTAAAGAGGTCACAACAGCCACTTCCTGTTGACTACCAATAGGTGAAGACAAAGAGCCGTACAAATCTCTGAGTCATTTCCGTTGAGCGTACCCTGTCTTTGTTCGCCATACGTGTCGGCAGTTTTGCCATGTAGTTAACAGCATGATCTTGCTTGTTCTCGTGTCAATAGGGATGGTCATTCACCGTTCAACCAGAAATATGGACCGTCATCATGAGGATTCCTTTTCGAGCTGGGCTGTTCAGAGACAAGCCGCAATTTGTGCCAAAGGTTGCGAAAAGTGTACCCTTCGCATGCATTTTCTTGGGATCTTTCCGGAGACCCTCCACTTCATTCACTCCAGCAGATGTCGGTTTCATGGTTTTTCTCCTTGGAAAGAGGGGTGACTTCGAGAGTGACAAAGTTTCAACCCCTCCCCTTGGGCAATCAGCACACCACCCCTGCAAACGCTCTTAAAGACCAAAACAGACAAACCACGGGTTCCTTCCCTCTTGCGCATAGGCAAGGCGCGAGCCGCTGCGAAAGCAGCGCCGCCGCGCGAGCCGCAGCAAAAACCGCCAGGCGTGGGAGGCTCTGTTTTCACCGCGCCGACTTTTCAAATCGGGGGTTGCCATTTGGCCTTTTGATGGAAAATATACTGGAAAAGAGGAGGGGGGGCAGAAGGCAAACCCTGTATAAGTTTGTTGGTTTTGGGCCCTCTCCCACACCAAATGCAAGAGACTGACTTTGATGGTCAAATCATGATCCCTGCTTCCTTGAATCGTTGGAGAAAAGCTTAGTTGGATAAGGATGTGGCATGCAAAACGAGCCCATGCAATGCTTCACAAGCGTCTCGGCATGACCATCTTGGCAAAGATGCCAAGAGTTTAAATTCTAATCTTGGCGCTGATGTGCCAAAATGGCAAGAAACAATGCGCAAGTGCCAAGAATTGAGGCAGAGGAATGCCCCTGCACCTGAAAGTAAGCCCTTACCCCGCTTCTGCTGACACAGTTGGAAGTCTAGGAGGCGCTTCTGAAAGCGAGTGGCAAGGTTTGGCCCTTGGCTGAGACAGTCCCTCCCAAGATTCAGGAGGCATCGTTTCTGTAAGTTTGCCAAGCTCCATTTCCGGACTGCCAGGATCACAGGTCCTCGGTTTCTTTGTGGGGAGCCTTGGTCCACCCAAATGTCTCTTACAAAAGCACATAGCTTAAACCACCCAGATTTCTCATGTCATTTTGTCAATCCTTTGTAATTGGGACTCAAATGGGTTATAGTATGTGCGCAGCCAGGTTTTCGCAAGGTGTTTGTTAGCTCATCCAGTCATCGAACTGAGTCAATTTTGATCCAGGACTAGCAAAACCCTGGTTGATTGACAAGTGAGTGCGTCCGTGCGTCCGTGCGTGCGTGTGTGCGTGTGTGCGTGTGTGCCAGCAAAGGGTTCCAGGGTTGAAGCCGCCTTCGGGGAACCGAAGCTGGTGAAGTTGAGAACCCACCGGCGTTGTGCCTTTGGGTTTTGCAGCCAACCCAAAGCAAGCAAAAAGGCTTCGTGTTTTGGCAAATACACGGCAAGATGCGCCGCTTGTGACTCACTGTTTGCAGAATGGATGTCCTCCGCAACAGAAGTGATAGGGCCAAAGTTGATAAGATGCTTGGCCGGTCATGCGGGATATGGAAATGATGTGTCAAAATAGGGGTACCCCCGACATTGGTGGTTTCCAAATGATTGCTGGAAAAACAACCCCGAAAAGGTTGCCTTGAACAAACACACCCACACAAGTCTACTTCGCAATTGACGGCCCACCCGGCCCGGATGCGCCTCCGAATTTGCTTGCAATGCGAAATGGTTTCCCAGTAGCTTTTGGTTGGGTTCCCCGCGGGAAATTCGGCGACCCCAGAAGGGTCCCCTTTCTGCCAGGGTCACTGGAGGAGTCCAACTTCAGATCTCGCCTCCGAAAATGAAGTTGCGGTCATCTCAAAGCGCTTTGCTCTTTTGAAAACTCATGTGGGGTCCAAGGAATACATCCGCCAAAGCTTCCCTTCAAGAGAAACCACCTTCTGTGGATCTTGCTTCCCAGGAGATTGCTCTCAACAGGGCTGCATTCTTGGGCCTTCCATAAAAGATTCGTTTGGGCCAGTCAACAGCTCAGACAAATGATTTCCAGCTAAAGGATCCGCTTGGGCCAGTCAAAAAAGCACACCCAAGTGCTTTCCAGCTGATTTTTGGATCCGCAACCAAGAAAACCGCGGCCGGTTTTGTGACTCGAATCCAATTCCGGGACTTGCGCCTCAGGGGCTTCGAAGGCGCACAAGGCCTTGGAATCGGGGAGACGAATGGCGCTGGCAGGAGCAAAAGGGAGTCGAATGGCGCTGGTAAAAACATCTTTCAACATGGGTTGAGTCAAGCCAGTGTTGGTTCCCTGTGTCACCTGGGGTTGTTTTCCGTCCCTAGAGCCACGTGGTAAGCCAAAGAAGGTGTAGGGAACTATGCCATGCCTTGTGTCAAAAAAAAATCCCTAGAGCCACGTGCTCAAAACCGATTCGGCTAGATGAAGGATAGTAAGGGACCTCCCAGCCATGAATAGCTGCCGCCTTTGTATTTCCTTATATTTGGTTCTGGGTCAACCGTTTGGTAAAATCGGGTTTTGATTGTGACTCAAGTGGGGGTTGATCATCATTCCCTTCGGCCCCGAATGACCATGGGTAACAATCGGAATATCATCTTCTTAGTGGTTTTCCCAATGGTCATCCCATGTATATCGGACCTTTTGATCAGCCCCCAAAGTTTTTTGGGGGTTCCCCTTTGAACTGCCGCGTTTTCGACCTGCAGGGCACCTTTCTTTTGTTCAGACACGCACCCAGTCACCTGTTTTGTGACTCTTGGAATGCGACCTTGTGGACTGAATCCAGGCCGCTTATCAATAATCAACTTGGGTCTCATCCATCCCAACTGGATGCCTGGCTGCCATGGCTTGTAGCGATGTTCGATTTAGATCTTTGGCAAACCAATCTGTCGATTCCGGTTTGAGGCAGCCATGACCACCCGCAGTTCGGGATATTCACGAGCTGAGTTGGGTCTTAGAGTATATGAAGGTTCCTGACTTGTATTGATATACGTCTTTGGGCTGGATGTTTTGCCACCAAATTCAATTAGCCATGCGATTCCTCCATTCGGTTTGGTGAATTGTGTCATCCCAGATGTCAGTTCAACAGGCTTTTTGTTTGGCATCCGGCGGATGTCCATCGGCACCTCGTTTTTTTCTTTTTTTGCGTGGGGGGGGGGGAAGAAAAGCAGCACCAGGTGGCGGTGTTTGCGCTGGGCTGATTCTGGGAACCTCAGCAGGCGAGGAGATGGCGTCAAGCTCGGGTTGGACTAGGCTGGCACGAAACAACAAATCAGTGTGTTCGCTTTCCGCACATTCTTGTGTGTGTGTGTGGTTCTTACTTCTAATGTCGTCGTCCGCGTCGCTCGCTCCTTCACCACCTGCTCCTGCTCCTTTGCCCTCCGGCCTTCCTCCTTCTTCTCCCCACTTTCACTCACTCAACTTACTCACCTCCACTTACACTCACTGACTTACACATACTTACTCTCACTCAACTTACACTCACTGTGTTTCTCAGTCTTTTAACTTACACCGACTTACTCTCACTCACTCAACTCTCACTCACTTTGCAGAAAGCTAGGCACGCATGGTTGTCCAGTCCTTTTATTATAGGAGACCCCGCCAAATAATGATTGTCCTTTGTGTTTTCTCTTTAAAACCACCAAATAGAGGTACCCTCAACACAAGGCACAGCCAAATGTTGGAAGGAGGGAATGGTGAATCCACTCAACAGCCTTCCCTGGTAGAAATCGATCGGCTTCTAAAAGCTCCCGCACAAAAAGCTCAGTGGATGTTGGCTGGGGACCTTTGTGGACCAGGTGCTTAGCGACGTTTGATTTGGATGGTCTGGGCTTGATGCTGGCAGATTTATGTTGTGCTCGGGTACTAGGGGTGGTCCCTTCAAACGTGATACATCCCAACTAAGAAGGGACCCCCCAATTCGTCAGCCAGGGATTGATTAATCCGAGGTGTATATTCAAATGGAACACCTAAAGCCATCATTTCCAGAGGCAACTCGTTTTGAGGGAAGCCCTTGTTGATTCCATGTGAATGTTGCAAACGTTTACATGCTGCTTTACATGTTGGTTATGCTTGTTCCCTGATGATAATGATAATGTTCTTGTTTAGCCCATGACAAGCATACAAGGCATGCTTGTCAGCACTTAACACACATGCGAGTCTGTATGCGCATGCGTGTGAATGTGCGCATACCTGGTTACCTGATCGTTGGCTTTTCCATCGGATGCAGCCGCCTAGAAAACAGTTTCACACACTCCACCGCTATGTTTTCTACTTGGTGTTTCTCTCATTGATGCTGTTTTGATACTCGTAGTCTTAGTCGTTCAGTTAGATCCACAACCCGGACTTCAGTTGAATGAAGGTAGATGGAGCTCTCCATGTTGGTTTGAGTTGCCCCCTGCGCCAAGGACATTGCCGTCTACTTTCACCGTGACGCAGTTCTGGGTGTGTTTTGCTTTTTCAAAGCACCATGTAGCTGGTGTCACTTTGAGGACGTCTTACTAGAATGGGCCTGGTTTTTCGGCGGGATGTTTGCGCTTCTATGTCCATTGGTGCCTTTGGCGCGGCCAGGTCTTTGATGATGTGCCCGGGGTGGTTGAGACCAAAGTGGGCTACACGGGGGGCACCAACCCCAGTCCCAGCTACGGATCTGTGTGCCGAGGCGAGTTCCGCCTTTGTGCGAGGAGAGTCAGGTAGCCCTTAGTTGGTGGTTTGTCTTGGTGGTTTGGAGATGTGACCCCCTGGCCTTTGTAGAGAGTTAATGGGAAACCACCCCAAACTTCCGAGCCCGCCAATGAGGGGGAAGGTGAAGGAGGGGTCGGGTCCGTGATTTGGGTGGTTCGCCAGTCTTTGTGAACTGCCTCTCTAAAGTTCCTTTTTGAAGATCGGGAGGGATCCCTCAATACATTTCTCGATGAGCTCCCGGAAACCCTTATCCCAGCAATCTTGAAAGTGGAGGGGCCTTTTCAAGACCCAGAGGGTCCAGGTACCTTTTGAGGATGAATTTTGAGGGGTTAAAAGGGGTCAAAGTACCTTCTCAGAAGGTACTTGGACCCCTGAAAAGAGGATGCTTGCACGAAACTCTCCTGACTTACATGACTGTCGAGATCCTACGACATGCAGATCGCTCCCCTGGCAAGTAGGACTGAGGCCTTCAGGGCACGAATTTAGGGATCAGAGTTGGCACCACCTCAAACGTTTGGACCTGAACCCAACGGCCACTTTACGGGTTGCTTCGCTCACTCCTACCAAAGTTCCTGGACATAGGTGTCCTTTTTGGGTTAGTCTGGGTGAGAATACATTGCTCTGGTCTCAGCTCTTTGGTAAAACAATTTGAGTGGCAAACACACAACTTGCGGACTTATTTCGGCCAATCCAGCGAGTTCATGTGGAACCGGAACTTCAGACTGCGACCCTATGAGTACCAAAAAAGGACCGTCGCAGGAGACGGCCACACGGAAGCTGTGCGTGTGGAGTACGACCCCAAAGAGGCGGAACCCAAGGGATCGCGCCGCCTTAGGACAGCCATTTGTTCAGGAGGATAAATAGGGTTTAAGTACATTCTAGGGCTACCTTCCCCATTCTTTCCAGGGATCCTTCTTTTCAGGAAACCATCCAAAACCGAGATAACAGCTGGTTGTTGAAAAGAAGGATGGTTGAAAAGAAAGGGGAATCAAAGAACCAGGGTTACGCAGGTTTTGATCTTTGGTTCCATTTACCCAGGTGCCATTTGGGTACATTTTATTGAGCCACAGCCACATGTGATCAGTTGTATGTAAAACTCGCATCATGTATTTCATCCGCAGCCCTGGGGATGGAGGTCATTTGTGTCATCTCGTGCACTTGGGGGGATCCCACGCTGGCAAGACGAGTCTCTGCTTATGTGAACATGAAGTCATACTGAGGGGCACGTTTGAGACCTCTCTGAACCAGGGAAATATATATATATATACATATTCCTTTGCAACAAGGTAGGGCTTGCATACCTTGCACGTCCCCGGGCAACCAGTGGAGGTTGTGGTGCATGGAACTGTTAATGGTGGATCTCTGATGAACATTCGCAGTGATCAGTCGGGGGCTCCCTCTTGGTTTGGGATATGCTCGCAGACTCGCGCGGATTTCCTCAGTTTCTGACCGTTGCTTTGGTTGTGATGCATATTCCAGTGGCACAGCTCAAGCCTCTTTTGGCAACATTCGGGCCAGGGGGTGGGAAGCCCACTCCAACTGATAAAGGCATGCCGAAAGTTATAGAGCTGCACCTTCCCACAACCAAAACGCACAAAAAGTTTTGCTGCTTGTTCCAGGATGTTTCTCCCCCCCCCCCCCAGTTAACATCAGTTCTGTCGAAATTTCGGAGGTCCCGCTTCCTTGCGGGGGGTTTGTCCTGGTGGTTTCTCTTGAAAACACAACGAACGGGGGCCTACAGAAGGCATGGTCCAACAAATAAGCTTGGAACGATCATCCCTACCTTCAGTCTGTCCCAGCAGGAGACAATCAATTATTGTACTTGGTCATCTTGGTCCTTCCTTGGTTTTGCGGAACTAGGACGAGTGGGACCAACAGCTTCGGTGTTTTTCATATTTTTGGTTTCCCTCCAACCCCACCCCCAAAACGGGTTCCGAGCGAAGGAAAAGGCTCGCACCAAATCGCCAAATGTTGCGTCCGAAGCATCCACCCCTCAATCCAGACCTACAGTGGTGCCCTCTTCAACATCAATACCATCAAACACGAACTTCCCCAAAACCCCCATGAGAGCTATTTTGAGTGAAGATTCCGATCGGTTTACCTTTTTCTAGTGGGTCTTGAGGGAAGTGAGAAAGGGTTCAAGGGGTTGATTTCCCATTCTTTTCAACCATCGTTCTTTCCAAACACCGGCCGTTTTCCCTCGGTTTCTGGAAGTTTTCTAGAAAGAAGGATCCCTGGAAAGAATGGGGAAGTGTCCCTTAGAAGGGTGCCCGTTTTTCTTCCCATCAATGCATCGATTCAATTCCCTCAAAGCCGGGCAGCGCCCAAAACCCTTGAGGCAGGTTCTACCTGGCTTGACAAAGGCTGTCGCGAGGCCTATAGCCTTTATGGGTGTGGGTCAAAATTCAACCACCAGGCGACCGCAGGTTTTAGTGCATGTTTCCATGTACCAGGATTCTATTTTGGGAACGCATGATTCAACATCTGGGACCCGCAAAAAACAAAAGGCAGTTGCGCTTTGGTGTCCCTTTGACCCAACCACAGCGAGGGGTGTCGGTGTCTCGAAAGCAGGCATCTTAGATCCCATCCCATCCCATCCCATTGCATCCCATCTCATCCCATCCCATCCCATCCCACCCATTCAAGTGTGTCGCAAAATGGTGGACCCCCTCCCTTTTGGTTGGCTTTTTGCTTGGTACTTAAAAAGTAAAGGACACCCTTGCTTTTTTTGGGGGACAATTATTTTGTTTGGACAAACATGAAAAATTGGTTGGTATCTGAAGGGAAACCAGGGTATTTTTTAAAGGTGCCTCCCAAAAAAATGGTTGTTTTGCTTTTGGGTTTCACACACCCCGCCAAAAGGAGTACCCCCAAAAAAGAAATTGACGCGAGCCACCCATTTCGCAAGAAGCCATTCCATGCGAGTCGCGCGAGAGAATTCTTCGAGGTGACCCACAATCAAAACCCGGGTAGATGAAGGTTAGTAAGGAGCAGTCCCAGCTGGAAATAGTTGCGGCCGCCTTTCCAATTCTTTACATGGTTCTCTCAGTTGTTCAGTGGCACCCTTTTTCCCTTTTTTTTAAGCGGCTGCCCCACTAAAACTGGTCTTCCCCACAAAGGGTTCCCTTTTTTTCCAGGGTCACTGAACTGAGTTCTTTCCTTTTCTTTACCACTTGATTGTGGATCAGGTGAGCTACCAGGAGCTCTTGGAGAAGTACTGGGACCAGTACGTGGGCCCGGCCGCGAAGTGCCAGTACCGCTCCGCCATTTGGGCCCGGAGTCCGAAGGGTGGTTTGCTTGGTTTGGGCTGGAGGGGAGATGGAACAGAGTCAGAACATTTTTTTCAAAATATGGTTTTCCTGTGTATCCCAGATATGGGCCGTATAGAATTTACATGTGTTGTGTTTGTTTTGATCCTTGAAGTCCCTATTTGTTATGGGAAATACTAGACACGTGGAATTGCGGCACCCCGACCACCTCTCCCCTGAAGGGGGGGATTCCAAGGTGAACATCACCCCAGATGCGGGCACAAATTCTGGTTCTCTCGAGGTGAGCGACGGCGAGCAGAAACGCCTGGCGGAGGACCCCACCCACCCCGCCCGCCCAAACTACCACATAGCCTCAAGGTTTCATGGGGATTCCTGATTTCTGGTTGGCAAGTTCTGAGCAAATCCGCGTTTCCTTGTATGTAGTATTATTTAATGATGCCCAGCTGGCAGCGCCTGTTGAATGGATCCCATTCATGCACACAACACGACCAACGCATGATATGTTTACCAATCTGGCACCAGTGGTTTCGATTTTGGCAGTCTCCGGCGACTGCGTTTGAAGAGCGTAATAAAGCTGTAAAGTTTCATAAACTTAGACCAAGGAGGCTATCAAGCCTACTGTCCAGAGTGCATGCAACATCCGGCTTCCAATCCTGGCCCATCATCGCAGACCTGTGGGTTTCTTCCTTTTTGCAACTTTCAAAGTCAAGCTACCAAAACTTCAAGCCGCTCCGCGGGTTGAGGTTTGGGGTCACAAGCCTCCATAGATATTCACGGCGCGTGCTTCTCCCCTGCGTGTCCCGGATCCTGGCCCGAAGGAGATCTCGTGGATAGCTGGTCCCAGAACAATTTTATGTTGGGGTCTCTTGCCGGGAGATTTTTTGATTTTTAGATGTGCTGCGTGGGCTGCAAAAGACAGTTCGTTCTTGGCTCACCCGCCAAGGATTGGACAGATTTCCATTGGGAAATGGCTGATTGACACCATCGGGGTCCACAAACCGATTTTCAACACACCTAAACCTTGGTCCCCCAGTAATGCCCTTTTTCTATTTTTTGGGGAGGGTTCCCCTACGGGAGGGTTCCCCTACTAAAATAGACCACAGAAAAAAATGGTACCCTTATTCTAACCTCTCTACTGGAGGACCCAGAATTGGATGTGGTTCAAGAAGGGGTGCCCAACATGGAATCCTGGCAAATGGAAAAGTAGACTAAAACCTTTTGTCCCCAGGCTCTAGCCACACCCAATTCTGGAGTGGAATCTGATCATATTACTTTCTACCCAAATGTGGTCTATGATTTTATCAAGTTCTATTTGTTTACTCTCTGCCCAGGTTAGCCTTTTGGTGTCCAGGTGGACAATGCGTTGCAGCGTTCCTCTTGATTACATATTTGTATCTGTTTCTCGGAGTTATCAAAATCAGCTGAACTTGTTTCCCTTTTACCCATGGGTGCGTATTTTTTTAGGGGACCCCCCAAAAAGAAAGCACAACAACAATAAACACAATACAGGTTTTGTCTTTGTGGCCTTTCTTTAAACACCGCCAAACAAAGGGGTACCCTCACAAAAACAGCCCATTCACTTTGGGCTTGCCAAGCGCAGGAGTCGGTGCGGCAGGCAGACGCCTCGGGTCGCTACGAGCCCTTGCCGGTGAGGGTCCCGGTGGAGCCCATGAAGAGTTGGCACGACGCGGAGGAGTTGGAACGAGTCGAGGTCCAAGAATCGGTTGGTACCACTTGTTCAGTCAAGCATAGGTGTGCTCTTGATGGGTGATGGGTTGTTGGAGAATGGATTGGTTTTAACTGGTTTCCGTTTGGTTCTACTCATTTACCAGACAAAACGTGCAGTCCCAGCCTCCAACCATTGAATTTGTAAGGTAATTGAGCTCTCTAGCTTCCCATCGATTTTGATCACTGAGCTGTTGAACTTCAAATGTTTTGTTGGCGGGTGTCCTCGTCATTCTCCAGGCCCAACAAGTTTGGACACTTCCTGGCCGGTCAGCGTTGGTCAGACAAAGCATGGATCTCTCGGGGTTTGACCAAATAGGATTTCTTCGTGAGTTTCCACTCAACAAGACTTACCCTCATTGTAGAACAGGCAGAGAAACCAAAGTTCTTGTGCCAAGGATATAGGAGCAAACTGGGACTTGAATGGATTCGCATCAGGACACTCACCGGGAATTCATCACTGAGGTGCGAGCTAAGCGTTACTTCACTTTTCTTGGC